AATTAAGTAAAAACGCGGGTTACTCACGTGAATATACTGAGAAAAGCTCTACTAGTTTCGAACCACAGAGGAGCTGCGCGACGTCGCCGCGACCGCGCACGCTGCTCATGAGGAAGAACCCCTCTGTGGTTCGAAACTAGTAGAGCTTTTCTCAGTATATTCACGTGAGTAACCCGCGTTTTTACTTAATTGTAAAGTGACATTAAATGCCGCAATGTGAACCTCTGCCTACCCCTTCGAGGATGTTATAGTTAGTGATGTTATAGTTGGTTACTATTTTAATCCTTGCCACGAACCCATCAAGTTAATAATAAAAATTAATATACAGAAACGACATTTCATAACTGCGTCGATAGAATATCAATGAAATATATAGAAAATACTCAACACTTCCTAGTTTTATCGGAAACATGATAATATGTATTTATTTTAAGATTTATTTTAATTCATATGAATTAATTCAGTTCCGTAAGAATTATATAGGTAAGTATTATTAGATATTATTTATACCTAGGTGATGATATTTCTTTGTTACGAACTATCACGTAATTTTGTGTATAAAATAAATTAGTTGAAATATGTATTAGAATGACTCACGTTATTCTTCTACAGTTCACTATAATATGAATATTTCAATTGATCACATGACTATATATATGTAAATGTTTAAAGGTTATTTGACTGCTACGTTTGTTGAGAGGTCACAATTGTACCTATATTTTTTAATAGCATAAGCCGGTAATCGAGCAGACGGATCACCTGATGGTAAGCAATCGGCGTCGCCCATGGACACCTGGAACACCAGAGGCGATACAGGTGCGCTAACGGCCTTTTGGGGATTAGGAGTTTGAGGATCGTTGGGGATTCAGGAATTGGGGAGATTGGGGAAGGGGAGGGTAAATGGGATTCCGGTAACCTTACTCACACGACTAAACACAACGCAAGCGTTGCTTCACGACGGTTTTCTGTGAGGCCGTGGTATAACTCCGGTCGAGCCGGCCCATTCGTGCCGAAGCATGGCTCTCCCACACTTAAATATGCAAAGGATAAGGTAACTAGCTACTGCCAGCAGCTTCGCCTGCATTCCTGTGTAACAAAAAATATGTGTGGTATCCCAGACCGTAATCTATTCCCGTTCCAAATTTCATCCCGTTACCTTCAACCATTTTGACGTGAAGGAGTCACAAACATATCTACATTTAAACTTTCACAGGTCCAACAGGCGTCGAACATTACTGGGTAGATTTTTCAGTTATTGAAAAGCATTCATTAATATAATTATGTATAGAGGTATAATTTTGACGGAGAAAAATTCGCTGATTCCGAATATATATATATAACTCAATATCGACCAAAATATCGCTTAAACCAAATAGTCCGTTACCCCTCGATATGTACTCGGCCCCTATTACATGATAAGTTATGAGAAGTGAGCATTATATTGTACGCGCGCCAGACTTCAATGTTTTGAAATTTTCTTGTTTGGGCGCTATTGTAGATTGGTACTGGCCTACAGGAATTAAAATGACTGTAAAAGTGTTAAGACCACACTGTTGCTTAATTAACCTCCTCGGGGATAAAATAAGTGACATTATGCAATGTTTAAACTTTAAATTATATAAAAGTTTAGTTCTAGTACTCAAAAAACCCTATGTTAAATTACAGGAAGCCAAAACAGTACTAGCCTGGCTCCGAGGAGTGAGCGTAGTGGACCGAGGCGTGGAACAAGACATCGAGAGCATCGTCAGGGTGGACAAGCAGACACAGGCTGACTCGCAGTCCGTCTGGAAGATTATTTGTAAGTAAACCACAGTACGCAATGAATTTTTTAAAAATTACTAATATTCGCCATCACAAATTTCCACTCTGTTTGTATTGTAACTTTCGTGAGACATACTAAATAAATTATTGTGTTTTCGGCTTACTCACGTAATAATTTGACGAGGAAGTCAACTAGTTTCAAGCCATGTTAGAGGTTCATATTCATGAGCAGCATTTCGCGACCCGCGACGTGGCGTACTAGTCGAGTTCCTCGTCAAATTAGTACGTGAGTAAGCCGAAACATAACAATTTATTTCCACTCTGTCAATCTTGTCATATTAATATGTTACACAGAGGATTATTTTTAAGATAGAGAGAAGTATCTATCAGTGATTTAATTGTGGTAAAAGTTAAATTTACCGAGATATCACGATTTTTGTCAAAGAAGTCGGCCATGTACGGTTTTCGCGTGCGCGTCCTAAATCGTTTGATATAAATTGAACTAATGTATGACAAAAATACTTTTAAAAAGATCTACAAAAATATGATGTCAGTCTATATATTTAAATAAATACATTAATCAGCAATCATAATTATTTTAGACCAAATTTGCTCTTTATAGCATAAAAATTAAGTGGTAAGAGTTATCGCAAAATGAAAATCATGAGCGACCAAAATTAATTACCAAGCTATGCGCGGTCACGACAATCTTGAAGTTGCGTTACTAAAAGTTAATAATCGTAATATTAAATTGCAAACAGTAAAACACATATTCATGTCTCAAAAAAAAAACTGATAATATGCTAGACTATCCTGTCTTTCAATTCGAAAAATCAAAGTGAACTCGATCTCGGTTCGCGTATGCATGTTATTGGTTGTAAGAATAATCTCGACCAATGACGGGCAAGTTTCAATCGAGCTACCTTCAAAAATTCGAATTGACAATTACAGAATGGCCTAACAGGTATTTGATTGATGTTTTTGTAGGTAGATCGCAAAAGCAACACTGACTTTGACGATTGGGTTTTAAGGCAAAGTCAGTGGGTGTTGTTACGGCTAATCAGCTATCTTTTGTTTTTTTTTACTCAGGTCACCTATGTAGGTCTGTTATTTTGATTTAAAATGCCTCTAAGACGTTCTAACGTAGGGCTTAACATCGTCAATGTCGATTGTACACTTGGATCGCTCGAATGACCATGATGAAGACAGAGAAGTCCACACACTCACACATAACCTCACGCAGTCTATGGAACGCCAATTGACATCTTATATACATACTTCTTTCGCTTCATCAACTGTCAGTCTTTTCATATACGCTCGTCGGTTAAGAGTATCTACTTTTAATTTGGCCCTTCTGTAATATATCGCCAATCTGGTCGATGTATACGGTACACTACAGGGAAGTCCATTCGGCAAATAATCGGACAACTCAGTACATAAACATAGAGAAATGTAGTGAAAGAGATCATAGACTTTCACAAAACCGTGAGAGACAGGTCACAGAAGCAAAGAGAAATTAATTCAGAAAGAGAACGATTTTGTTTTTTTTATATTAGATGGGACTGACGTTTGACCACTATCTCGCCTGGCGGTAAGTGATGATGTGGCCTACGATAGAGCACGTCGACCCATAGGACTTCCAGGTTATACCCTTCAGGAAATACAGATTCTGACAAAGAATTCCACTCCTTAGCAGTACCTACGCACAAGGAAGCTTGATACGAAGCGCTTCGTGCGTGTGAGTGGGACATCTACCATGAATCGGTGATGCTAAGCGATCGCTCACTACATCAATCTGATTATGTAACTAGACCAAACCGTAATGCTTGGTCAAATAAAGAAAACTCAGTTTTCAGCGAAGCATACGCGAGCGCGCTCCTGAAATATAATAAATGCTACCCGTGCAAGCCGGGGCGGTTCGCTAGTTTTAAATTAAATTTTAATTTCATAACCACCTATTGTTTGATTATTTCGGTCACATTGCAGCGTCCTTTGAGCAAATTGAACATATTTAGAACTTAAAGACTATTCAAGCAACAATTTAAAATACAGATAGTTTTACAAAGTCTAGATAACAATAGTTAGTCCAGCCAAGTAGATACACCAGGCGACTATAGATAGAGTCCAATGGGACTGATGCCGATACGGAGCCGCGGAGGACTGAATGGGTTGCCGGGGCTTCGGCTCGAAATGCAAGAGTAGGAACGAGGTGGTTTTTAACCCTTTGTTTGACAAAAATGTTGGAAATAATCTGTTCTATAACCCTATACGAATTTGTGTTCTAATATAATTTTGATAAGACAATCACAACCACAACGAAGTTATACTAAGCTGGGAACTGGGATCATGAAAGCAGAACTTACTACATATCGGCTTAGAAATAAGTCTCTATATATCTCACCAGTGTCCGTACTAAACCAATCTAATGCTAATTTCTCCTCTTACAGGGCAAGACAAACCCACCTTCAAAGCGTTCATCATCACAATAATTATCAAGATCACACAACAGTTCGATGGGTACCTCATCGTACTGATATACGCTGGTTTTGTCTTCGAACGAGCTTCAGAGTCCATCAGCCTTAAACTCAGTCCCAACAAGCAAGTTATGCTGATCGGAGTGGTTCAGTTATTAGGGTCCATCGTCGCTACTTGTATTGTGGAGAAGACTGGTAGAAAGGTAATCAGTTTTTATTCAAACTTCAAACCTTCAAGAAAAGAGCGTATTCCTTTTTAAAAGGCCGGCATCGCACCTGTAACTCCTCTAGTGTTGCGGGTACCCATGGGCGGCGCTGATCGCTTACCATCAGGTGATCGTTTGCCTCCAATTCTATAAAAAAAAATTCAGAGTCACTTTTAAAACAACGACTAAGTATATTTGACTACTCTTAGCTACCTGACTCATGACTGCACGGTTGGTGCGGTGGCTGGACAACCGGCTGCCGTGCAACGTGTCTAGGGTTCGATTCCCGCACGGAACAACACTTTGTGTGATCCACAAATTGTTGTTTCGGGTCTAGGTGTCATTGTGTATGTGAACTTGTATGTTTCTAAAAGTAATAAAAATAACTTAACTACTATAGGGAAAAATCTATCAAATTTATTCTAGCTACCACTAAACTTAAAACTTGGTTTTATTGTGGTTATATTGGTGGTATTATTACGTATCAACCTATGATCCGCAACAAAGATATTGAATTTGATTTAAACGTCCCATTAGATAAAACGTATTGAAAGAAACATTATTGTATGGACATAAAGTTCTAATGTTTTTCTCAATGTTTTGTGTACACTCATGTAAAGTTACACCTCATCAAAACCCAGTACTGATCTCAAACGTAGTAAGGAAAAGGTTAGGAGTAAAACACTACTGTTTCTATCGTCAATCACCAACTTGTCCACAAAAACAAAATATTCTCTATCAAATTAGTGACACAGTACTGTCCTCACCTCAGCCAAGTCGACCATGATAACGCCTTACCATATTTTGTTCAATACATTTCGAACAATTTTCGATTCCTATAAATTATTTCTTAACCATAATATTTCTTTAAATTTCAGCTTCTACTAGTAATAACATCGTTCACCGTAGGACTAGGTATGGTGGTCCTATCAGCGTGGTTCTACATGACCTCGTCAGGGTTCTGGCTGCCGGGCTGGTTACCGGTCCTCGCCATGTGTCTCTGTATCTTCGCTGATGCTGCAGGCTTCCAGCCTATATCATATATCATTATCACTGACTTGTTTACGTTCCAGGTGAGTGAAATTATATTTTTTTTTTCTGTATTTTTGTTAGCTATGCCAAGCGACATCTGCGTGTGAGTTAGTTTATTATGAGTCTTTTCTGTAATAGGTCCCATCTACCTCTAGATCGAAGATTGAATTGGTACGAAAATAATACTGTGTACTTCATTGAGACGTAGATTAATAATAATAATAATGTGCTCCAGGGAGAAGGCACCGTTACTTATTATCCAGCTTGCCTTAATTGGATAACTTCTGTTTCTGTCACATTCAAGACTAAAATCCTATTGTTCAAGTCTCCAATCGACTATTAAAATTCTTTCCTAATTGGCTCAAACTGTTTTTACTTGAACGTAAGAATTCTTGATGTCTACTTAAACTGTCAAACACCAAGCGGTCACCCGTGACCTATTGTTCTATAATTGTGTCTATAATGACGGTACTCGACGAGTTAAACTGTTTACCACCTTTCAAAAGACCTGTTCATCACCCATAACTTTCTCTTCTTCCAGCTCCGTGGCAACGTGTCAGCCTTCGCGAACGTGTGCGCTAAGCTTAGCAACTTCATTCAAACGAAATGGTTCACCATTATCTGTGAACTGATCGGTATACATTGGACCTTCCTATTCTTCTCTGCAATCTGCTTTATCGCTTGCTTCTACACCATCATCTACTTCCCCGAAACCAGAGGCAAGACCATCGATGAAATCTACTCCAAACTATCAGGTAAGGCCAAGAAAGATGACAGCAGAATTGAGTCTGTACCTTAAATTTTTACCACTCAAGGTTGAAATTCCAGTGTCACTGATTCCAACTATATGAGCTAGATCGAAACTTTACTGTCACTGTCGCACGATAGTCAACTTTATTTGTTTCACGTTTCAGTTGATTTTTATTCTAGTGACTGTTATTATAATTATTATTTTCTTGTAATCAATTTTTATGCAATGATTTTTGAACTTTATTGCAAGGCAATTAAGTTTGTATTATTTAATTTTCAATTTTATTTTTAACTCGTTCGACTTCACAGTCCAATGATGGACAAAGGCTTATAAAAGTCATATTAGTTGTAGTTTCTGTATTCATGGTATGAATACTATTTAATTTATCGTTAGCCAATCAGAGAAGGCCAAAGTGACGTCATCTATGTTGTCTTAAAATCCACCAATGAAATAGGGATGATGGCAAATTCCGTCTTATGTATATTGTCGTCACAATTTATAAACATGTTTGTGACGTCATATTTTAGTAAACAGTATAATTCCATTGTTATAGAAATAAATTCAAAATCAATTTATTTCTTAAAGCTACACATATTATTTGCAATTTCTTCGCAAACATTTTATTTTATTTGTTTAATCATCCCTGTTTTGTTTGGTTGTATTATAATAATTTATGTTAAGATTTTTATATTCATGATGACGTCGTAGTTACTTTCATGCAAATGAATTAAATAGTCACATCATATCAAAATTTGTTAAGTAATTTAATATTATGAGCCCAAAAATACAAAAAAACTGTCGTAGGTTTTCCTCTTGTGATGTTATGTGCGAATTTATTTATAGAATGTCGATTTTAATTAATTATTTATTATTATTTTATGAATGTATATAAAATTTGCGTGAAAACGCCTTATTAATTTATTATGATAAAGCTCTTTCAAAAACCAAGCGTTACTTAAAAAATTTTCAAGTTAGTCTACGAGTACTGCCAATAGATGTCGCTACGTCTCTTGGTGGTAGTTAGAGATGAAAATTTAAACTCACAATAATTCGAGCTTAAGGTATACTGGTTTATACCCAAGTATTAAGAAATGCTTGAATTTTGATTGAGATTCAAAAATAAGTCCAAATAGGTACTCAAACTCTATTCTATATCATCTATAAGTCAACAATGTATTTTGTCTTGCTGTCTTTGTTACAGTTTTAAAACTTCATAATGTTGCGTACTGTTTGAGTGTTAAGACATGATTAATTATTATACATATAAATATAATTCTACACTCACAGCTTTGGTCACAACTAGTCCATTGTGTATTCTGTATGTTATATTCATCTAATTCCCACAAACTCGAGACTAGTTCCTTTACACGCACCAATCAGAACACTGCTTTTTAGCGCATCGTGTTAAACAGCCACACCTGATTGGCTCATAACAGCTTCTTAGCATGTCACTACTGTCCGTTTTACCATCACGACGTTAAGTCATACATCTATTCAAATGCATAGATAAATCACTCCCAGTTCAGTCGACTATCCATCTTATACTATTCTGTTACATAGCGTATGGCCTTTAGTTAGCATACTACATCTCATCATCATGGTCATCACCGATCTATTTCATGGCATAGGCCTTCTCAAGTTCCCCGAAAATGGCAAAATGTTCCTTTCTGCCTCAAACTTTGAGTCTTTAGTTCAGCATCTATTCAGGTACATAAAAATACTATCAAAAAATCCATGTAGTAATTAAGTCATTGTAGAGACTGGCACCGATCTTCCAGGACCTATTAGTGTTGATACTCTGCTTCTGTGCTATAGGCTCTCTAGTGCAGCTTTTATCGAGAAATATTAAAATAAATGCTATTTGAACCACATTTTTTGTGGTCGATCGAAAGATCCCCTTTGCAACACGACCGATGAAAATTCCTTGTCATTCCCAACATGAAGTAAAAGTAAGATAAAAACTGTCTGCATATGCTCAAAGGGCATATCGTGATGAAATGTTTATATTCCTTGAGACTATGAACACAACAAATACAGTTTATTGCATCAGTAAGTAATTTATGGACAAAGTACCCAGTAGAACATAGAATCTACTTGTCCGGAAACAAGCCATTGTCCAACAACAAAGGAGTTGTCAATATCGTCGATAGATGGCGTTGATATCAAATTTGATTGCCCTATGGTTCCGTTACTGTTTTCTTTTATTACTGGATATTTACTGAAGTTGTAAACTGTACTTTAAGTCTATGTACACATTTATTACACGATAAATTCCCAAATGATTTAATAATTATGACCTAAGTGCTGTAATAATTGTTTGTTTCAGTACTTAGACTAAATATTGTATTAAAATTATTGTACTTATTTAATTTATTTTATTGATTATAATCATGTACGCCAGTTTATTGAGCTATTACTTATTAAAGAGGGGTAGCTTGATGTGCTGGTACTTGTGTCACGGGGAATAGAAAAATGTAGTCATAGTTAAAGTAACTTCAAAGTTATATATTCAAAATTATAGTACAAATTGATGAGGACTCGTAAGACCAATCGTGCAAACATGGTGTCCACAGAGAGACTAGAACAACACTAGGGATGATTTGGTTGAACAACTCTATACATTTTGTTGGCAGCGAGGTCGTACGACCATGGTCTTCTCGTGAAATAAGCTTCTAAAAGCTACCTATAACTACATTTTCTCTTACCCCATGTATACTTGTATAATTTAATTTATTAAGTGTATATTTATGAGCCATTGTAGAGCATAAATAATTACCTATTAGTAATTTACTTGATTATTATTATTATTTGTAGAATAATTCCATGTAAATAATTTCATGTGCCTAACTTTAGAAAGTAATCCTAGAAGGATATTTAGTTCTTAAAAACGCCACTGGTGTTATGATTGGCGGTAGTGAGACCATTACGTGAAAATGGTGATATTTTAGTAAATGAATGCTTAATTATTGTTTTCTTTAATGAAATTTGTTTTAAAATACATTTTTTGTTTGCAAAACAAGTGCTTATTATTTTATCAGAGGTGACTTATCTGTCTGGTATTTTAAAATGACAATTGACATTTAAAAAGAATATGGTCCTTATTGACATAACACTAGTTCGAAATCCTTTCGACAGAGGCGCTGTCCGCAAAGAGCTATCAAGATAAAATGTAAATTAACTATTCAATCTCTCACTAGATGGCATTAGTCACATTAGTTCTAATTTCAATTTCGACAGGCGCACAAAGTATTGCGTATTAAATGATGCGTTTTGAAAACGTAATTAAAAATGTAAATATGTGATAATGATAAGAAATAAACATAATATAATTATAAGATAAATAAAGACTCTTGTTAATAAACAGTTATGACTTAAAACGTATTTTTTCTGCTATTTTTAATTGCAACGTTGGTGTATTTTGTTTAAGAAAAAAGCGGGTCAACGAGAAGACGGATCACCTGATGGTTAGCAATCGACGACGCCCATGGACACCTGGAACACCAAAATTACGAATAATTTGAGGAATGTTGAGGATTCAGAGACTGGGGGACGGGGGTAGCTGGGCCTCCGATAACCTCACTGACACGACGGAACTCACGTCTTCACGTCGGTTTTCTGTGAGGCCATGGTATCACTGGTCAAGCCGGCCCATTTATGCCAAATCATGACTCTCTCACACTTCAGTATTAATTAGTTCGATTTCCAAAAGCATGAAATGAATACCTAACAATCACCCAACAGCTGGTGACAGTCCACTACTGCCATAGTCCTGCGCTAGATAAGAAAGACTTCATTAATCTCCGACCAATCGACCATGGAAGACACATTGGAGATAAGTAGATATATAATATATGTACTAGCTACTTTCGCAGTTTCACCCGCTCTGCTCGGCTCCTATTGGTCATAGCGTGATGTTTTAATAGCCTATAGCCTTCCTCGATAAATGCACTACCCAACACAATAAGAATTATTCATATCGGTCCAGTAGTCTCTGCGATTAGCGCAAACAAACAAAGTCCTCAGCTTTACATATAATAAGTAATAAGTATAAGATAACAATATTATGCTAACTAATAACGATCAAGAGCTTCGTCGGCCGAGTGGCCGAAAGTGAAGTGAGAAAGTGCGAATGCCTGGCTATTACTAGATTTAAAAAAAATCTCAGTAGTAGCACGGAGTCTGGAAATGTGCCCAGTATATGGCAATAGACTCACTGGCTCGCCCGATATTACATGGGATTCATAACATAAATAGTGAAAAGTGGGTGTTATACTGTACAGTTGGCATTGTAACGTGTCTGTAAGTGCCGTAATGTGGACCTCTGCCTACCCTTTCGGGGATAAATAAATGGCATGATGTTAATATGATGATGATGATGGTAATAATTATGCTAATAACAATCTTTATTCTACGCCATCGATTAACCTGAACTATTTATAACAGCAACCAACGAGTAAAGAACCATTACGTTAAATGTTTAAAAATTAATAGGCGCTTTTATAAAATGGAACAGTTCTTACTAGGTGTACTACTTACATGTTTTTTTAGAGGGGTTCATATTCACAAACACAGTTATCTTTTGTTGTATATATTATCTGTGGTAAGCTAACCACTTTCAAGAGTGGAAACCTATTTGTGTTCTTATTTTGTTTTATGAAATAAGTAAATTCACTGTGATTCTGACTGAACTTTTGTAATTCACAAGGTTTACTACACAATATATTAAAAATGCCTCGACTGCCTCGTTGGTCGAGTGGCCGCAAGTGCGACTGCCGGGCAAGGGATCTCGGGTTCGATTCCCGGGTCGAACAAGTACTACTGAGTTTTAAAAAAAAAATCTCAGTAGTAGCATGGAGTCTGGAAATGTGCCCTGTATATGGCGATAGGCTCACCCCCTATTACATGGGACTCATAACATAAATAGTGAAAAGTGGGTATTACTTCTGTGTGCACCTCTGCCTACCCCTTCGGGGATAAAAGACGTGATGTTATGTTATGTTAATATGTTATATTAAAAATGTATAACAGATAAGTTCAGTTGCGATTTGAAAAATTGAATATGAACTAGAAATTTTGTACAATAAACGATACTTGCATAAAATATTTATTCCTAACAAAAGTAGTCTAAAAGTAGGTGTCGCGGAGAACCTAACGGGTTACCAGGGCCCCGGCTCGACGTGCAGGAGAAGGAACGGGGTGGATTTTTTTTAGTCAGTAAGAGTCTGACACTCCCTCCCGCCTCACTCAGGCGGGAGCAGTCATTCGATGATTTTCCCCCGTTAAAAAAAAGTTACTTATAAAAATACGAAATTTACAATTTCGTTAAATTCGTTTAGTTATTTGTACAGTCAAATGAACTAAGACGTAGACGTGTTATAGCTGCATTTCTTTATTTTAATATCTACATTTTGAATAGATATTCGATTTCAGTTATAATGCGAAAATTAATAACGGTATTTTGCAACTACTTAATCAAATTCAATACTTTTATCGAAACGTCAAAAACGATATTGTTCTACGAATTTTGTACCAAAAACTAACCTATGACGTCATCATATTTTCGAGTCAAATAGCACACTTATTTCTGAAATAATTGCTAGAATAAATCGAAAATTAAGTATATCATCAAATATATGAATGAAATTGTAATTATTTTTGAATATATAATTGGATTGAAAAATCAAAATAATTTATTTTTGTCCTAGGAAAATACCCAATTGCTTAATATCACACAATAATGAAGACGACGATGTAAACTAAATTCAGATTTTTTAACACGTGGACAGTGCTTGTGTAATATTTGCGAGAAAGAGATGAATTCGTGAATGACAAAAGTAAAAAACAAAAATGGCGCAATCAGAAAACCGTCAGTTTAGCAATGGGTGGATATAGGTTGAAAGAGGAGAAGAGTTAAGTTTCATAGCAAAGTGCTTCCAAGAGTGTAAGCTTCTTCACTCCATCGTAGGATAAACTCATCAATCACAGGACATATTTAATTTATTAATTCACTACGCAAAATAACTAAATGGGTCATTCTCTGGAGATTCAATCAAATATTAACCCATTTAAAATTTTAAAGCCGTTGATCCCCATTATCATACGAACATCTGTGGCAGTCATTACCACTAGTTTCTGACTAGCCGATAACAGTTCTCACAGATGTATGTACATACAAAAATGACATCGTTCCTAATCAAGAATGTGATGTCATTCCTAACCGGTCATATGGTGCAGATGGCTACCATTATCATCATCATCATCAAATCGTCCCATTGGAAGAATAAAGTGTTATAATCACATGTGTCGAAATTCATATTATGGTAAATTCGTCATCCTTATAATGTAAACTATCGATTAATACTATTTTTATAAATTTATATCAATTAATTCAAAAGATACATTGCTCGAATAAAGTTTTATCCGCGCCGACTACGTAAAATAACTATGCATGATCACATACAACAATATTCTCCGCCTTGCTCCTGCGCAATTAGCTGCGCGTGCCGTGTCGCTTCATCCTAAGTAACGTTGTTCGACGAAGTAGCAGCGAGTGGTGTTTATTACATTTAATACCCAAAATTTGATAAAATATGTTGTATATAATGGTTTCATACAATTTACACTACGTATTATAAATTTCCCACAAAGACAGTATTTATAATCACATAAAACATTTTTTTACGAAATACCAAAGCTTACTTATTAGAACTTAAATCTGAACTAAATACTTTAATAATAACTTATATAACATACCGGTATCTAATAGCACTAGTCTTATTTTTTCCCCTATTTTTCCAGTTTCTTATAAACCTAGTACATTTTACTACGTAAAATTTTGTATTTTTTTCGTCCGCAAGTACGCATAAAACATTATTCTACAAAAAAAATAATTAAAGTGAGTGTCGTATATGCAAATGACACTTCTTTTTACCAACGGTTTTATTATAAAACAATATTCGAAATCTTTAAATTGCTATAAAATGGTTAAATTTAATTTAAAATATGAACAGCTTATTCAATAATCCATTAACAACTAAATGTACCGGTTAGACTAGATAGGTACAGCAAAAAGGTAACTAATGTAAGTTTACTTTGAAAATACCAATGGACCTAAACACAAGAGTGCACGCCTCTCTTTTTTGACATGTTTGCTTTTTGTATTAGAAAAATCGAAATAGTTCATTTTTTCCAAACTCTCATTTTAGAGCAAAAAAAAATTAAACAGTGACACGTGAAAAAGTGAGTGCATACTACCACAGTAGACCACTCGAGCGCTCATCAAAATTACATATATCTAAATTATGTACATACATTTATTTTACTGATTTCTTTTAAACTATTATGTTATACATATACTCCTTGTTACTTTTACAGAATCAAAGGAAAAATAATTATAACCAATATAATTTTATTCTTAATTTTATTATTAAATTTTTTGAATGATGATTTCTCAAACGATGAGGAAAGAGCAGGTCAGGCTCAATTGGTGAGTTTGTGGAACCAGTGGAATAGACGATTTTTGAGCTGGAATTTGCATTAAATAAAGAATATGAAATAAAGTACACCACTAAGACGAAAAACAGATGTTTGAATCAGGATACACCAAACAATTGCAATTTTATTTATACATATCATAACGAGCAAGCGACGTAATACGCTACAAAACTATAGTTAAAACTTCATGAGGTAAGTACTGCAACAGCACTGTCGTAGAAGACGATTACAAAGACCGCCACAAAAATAAAAAAAGGTAATCGTAGAAGACATGATCACTAGCGGTATCTATCCAATCACATTATATAAGAAAAACATGACGAAATCTAGACGGTAGTATATTGTCCGAATGTACAAATTTCAACAGAGTTGCACTCAAATAGGTTCAGTATTTTAAGCGATACATTGTCCCAGTGATTGTTTCAGTGCCAGTGAACCATAAACCAAATTTCAATCAAATACGTTCAGTGGTTTCAAAGATAGAGTCCTGAGACATATTCTAATTCTAATTCTGGCACATATTCTAATTCTGGGACTTCCGGGTTATTACTTTGGTACTAATAATGTGGCCTGATTTGTACCGGTAAGACGCTACTTCTAATACTATTACCTAAAGGAGACGAGCAAATTGTCATGGTAAATTTGACCTCGATGGACTAAAAATTATTAAAAAAAATGAAATGCTACGGGTTTTCAAGGACTAATACTACTATGTAACTGCATTAGGATCAGGGATTTTCTAATTCAATTAAATGAATACGTTATTTTAATGGACTAGCTTCTGCCCAAGGCTTCGTTCGCGCTCTTTTAAAGGATTGGGGATAGGAATCCAAAAG